TTACTGAAAGGCTGTTATGTGCTAGCCACTCCATACATCCTAGCTCACTTAGTTCTTACTATCATCTTCTGTGGTTGGCAGACAAGGAAACAGTCTCAGGGAGATTTGTCGGGATCTGTGGCTGGATCTGACTCCGTTAGCCTGTGTTTTTTTTTTTTTTTTTTCATGACACGTGCTGGATAAGAAAAGGAGAAGGAAGATGACAGCAGGTGTTATACTATACCTGCTGGTTAAGTATTATTCCTTTTGTTAATTGTATTGCCCCAGAGATATAAAATTGCTGTGACGGTCTTTGAATGCTGCGATGGTCCTTCCTCACTGTGACATTCAGAATCCTTGTCAGAGAATGCCTTTTTCTTTTTAAAAAAATTTTTAATGTTTATTTAGTTTTGAGAGAGAGAGCGAGAGCGAGAGCGAGAGCGAGAGCATAAGGGAGGGAGGGAGACACAGAATCCAAAGCAGGCTCCAGGCTCTGAACTGTCAGCACAGAGCCTGACGCAGAGCTTGTACCCATGAACTGTGAGATCATGACCTGAGCTGAAGTCGGTTGGTCGTTTAACCGACCGAGCCACCCAGGCACCCCAATGAGTGCCTTTTCTAATCAACGAAATTCTTAATTAGTCTGTCTTGGTACTCTGTTAACTTTCACCTCCCTTGTAAATCCTGGAAGTACTTGAACATCCTGGAACTTTTAACCTCCATTTTGAGCTCTGCATCCCACCTGTCCCTGCTATGGCTTAGGTGACTCCTCATGATGATGGCTAGGTCAGAGTTTATCAGACATCTGTTATTCATCTTTAGAACTCCACCCGATTCCACTCTTATCTCTATCTGGATTCTTATTTTCAGTTACACCCTCTCCCTACTCCCTCCCTCCACCAATCCTCATTCCTGACCTCTGCTTTATCCCCTTTCCCATTCATTGTTACAACATGTCCTTCCAGTGGGGGGGGGAGGGGTTAACTTAATCATCTAAAAAAAAAACCCCCAAAACCCAGAGCGTGTCAAGTGACAGCTTCTCAAAGTCCCTAAAAATATAGGCCATGCAGACTGAAACTGAAGAGAATGTATTTATGACACCATCTACTTTACCTTCCCTGACCTGACTCAATATCACTCGGGCAATTCTTCACATCCTTTCAGATTCTTTATGGAATTTGGATCTTAGGCACACATGGTATTGCCGCCTCCCTTTTTCACCCAGCACGCTAATAACATAAGATATTACAATGTAGCTTTTAGTACTTGTGTAGGTTTTCATGGATGGGTACCATTTTAATTTAACCAATGCTTTGTTACTGTACATTGACGTTGCTCCCCATTTTTTCTTTCTTTCAACTGCCCCGATGGGAATATCTCTGTGGCTAAGTCATAGCTCAGTTTTCCGGTTATTCTCTTAGGGCAAATTCCTAGAAATGGAAATTCTGGCTCAACTTACATGCATGTATTTAACCCTACTGAAAGAGGTTGCCTAAGTTACTTTTCAGAAGGGTTATCTCAGTTTGCTGCCCCAGCGGAAGTGTGGGAAAGGTTCCCGTAAATAATTTAAGAAGAATGATATGGTTCCTCCTGGCTCATCACCTAATGAGTCATGTGCTCTTTGGTGAACCAATAACCTTTATCGCTCTCAACGTGATCCATATGTAAAGTCAAGGTTTTGGATTAGAACTCCATCTTCCTCAAGCTGTCGTCCTGTGGTGCTGCTTTCACAGAGTGGGGGTAACTGCACTCCTGAATGTTCTTTGGGGTTCTCGAAAAGGACTGTTCTCAAAAGGGAAGTTGGAGAATGGAGCCTTAAAAGACTTCTCCTGAAGTCTTCGCTGTGGGGAAAGAAAGAATTTCTTTGTGGCGCAAAAGACTTTTAACCCAATTGCCTTAAATCTTGTCTGAGTTTCAGTGAACAATGTCGGCTGAGGCTATTACCATTGTTCCCTTTGAGGGTTATCATTTACAGATGAAGAAATAGAGGACGTGGCCGGCTGGAGACCAGCTGAGCCTTAGGGGTGAGTCAGAGGTTAGGGAGGAAAGTGCTAGACTTGTCTGTATGGGGCCAGCGACACGTAGGCTAGTCTCCAATGCAGAGAATGTTCTGCCCTCAAGAGACAGTTCTGGGTTTATCTAAAGAGGTGATGGGGACTAATAGATTAAGTTCTTCCAAAACACCATCCTCCAACAGGTCCCTGGGCACAGGAGCAGCAGGGCGCTCTTTCCCGGATCCTCTGTGGAATCTCTGCGTTTTTTTGTTTTTGTTTTTTTTCTTACCTCTGGCTGTGGGCATTCAGGTCACCAGGTATCCCTGCAAAAGGACGAGACCTGGGAAACACAGAGAAACTCAGACACAAGCCGGTAAAATCAAGTTGCGAAGACTCATAAAATAGCATCAAGAGCAGCAAGGGGGCGCCGGGGTGGCTCAGTTGTTTAAGGGTCCAACTTCTGCTCAGGTCATGGTCTCGCGGTTCATGAGTTAGAGTCCCGTGTCCGGCTCTGTGCTGACAGCTCAGAGCATGGAGCCTGCTTGGGATTCTGTGTCTCCCTCTCTCTCTCTGCCTCTCACCTACTCATGCTCTCCCTCTCTCTCTCTCTCTCTCAAAAATAAATAAACATTAAAAAAAAAAAAGAGCAGCAATGACTTCGGTTTGGCTTAAAATGTATTGAGCAGCAGCTAGGCATAGGTCCAATGAGGGCAGCACGAGAAGAGTAGCTGGCTTACAGCTAAGCGTTCAGCATGTGTTTCTTGGACACCAGGCTCCAGAGGTAGAAAGATAAACAGCCACCAAGCTTCCCTCAAGCCGCTCAGAGTCCAGCAGAGGAAAAAGAGAAGAAAACAAACACAGCAGCAAAATCATAAGTTGAAGTTTATACAAACACCAAAGTGGTGCTGAGGAGGGAGTGATTAACTTGAAAGTTGTGCTAGAATGAAACTTCAAAGTCCGCAGTGTTGGATGGATTGCAGGTGCAAGCCCCTTTCAGAACAGACGGATGCCTAAACTTTTCCCCAACGTCCATTTGTATGTATCAAAGCCTATATGGTTTCATTATAAGACCGAATATATGTACTTTAAAATCACATTTGATATTTCAAACCATTAAATTACCTACTAGTGTTTTTCCTTTTCCCTTTTCTTTTCTTTTTCTTTATTTTTTTTGGTAGCAAAGTTAAAAAGCATTCTTAAGTGAATAGGGCCCCTGGATTGAAGAGTCATTTGTTTCTAACAAATTGACACTTCATTATTTTCCATTGGGAGCAAATGTGCGACTCCTTTTGCTTCTCTGTGGCTAGTTACCCAGAACAGGGAGGCAGCTGCAGTTGGGGTTGGGGTGTGTGTGTGTCCTCTAAACTGGAGAAAATGCAGAAATACTGCAGAGGTTGTGTCTAATTGTCTTAGTAAATGAAGTAAAGGGTAGGGCATACTTACTGGAATATAGGACTGAACTGACTTTAACACTATGTAAAAGCAGCTTTGGGATTATGTGTCTTGAGTTAGTTTTCCAGTTCCTAAATTCTATAATTGTGAATTTCAGTGTATCAGATTTCTGCGTAATGAGGTGTGTATGTGAGTTACATATACGAATCCACTTCCTATTTCCTAAAGGATTTGTGACATTTGGGAGAACTTTGTGGGAGATTAATACTAGAAAATTCTCTTATCTGTGGAGAAGATAAACAGTAGATAACATTAATTATCAGAATGTGTCTCTTGTAGAAAATAGTTGGGGAAATCTGAGGTCGAGAACAGCAGATGTGCTCCGTATAAAACGTCAAGTGCTATACTGAGGGAACTCATTGACCAACAGAATCAAGATGGTGGAGCAGGTGGTACGCAAGATTTGTGTTGGAAAAGTCCTCTGTAATATTTCCACTTTTTATTCAGCTTAATTCAACTGAATTTCAACTATTTAAAGATTTTCTGATTCTCTTCCAGTGCCAAATAGAAGGATTACCTCATTCAACATGGTTGAAATATTCTTCGAATAAACTATGAAAGTGCTACTCCAAAAGATGTTGAAAACTGCATGTGCCGGGAGTTAGTTCTACATTTAGAAGCAGGGGCGCCTGGGTGGCTCAGTCAGTTAAGCGTCTGACCTCGGCTCAGGTCATGATCTTGCTGTTCCTGAGTTTGAACCCCTCGTCAGGCCCTGTGCTGACAGCTCAGAGCCTGGAGCCTGCTTTGGATTCTGTGTCTCCCTCGCTCTCTGCCTTTCCCCCACTCATGCTCTGTCCCTCTCTTTCTCTCTTAAAAATTAAACATTAAGAAAAAGAAACGTATAGGGGGAGAAGGGGGAAAAATAGTTGGGGAGAGGGAGGGAGGCAAACCATGAGAGACTCTTGAATGCTGAGAAAAAACGAGGGCTGATGGGGGTGGGGGGGAGGGGAAGGGGGGTGATGGGCATGGAGGAGGGCACTTGTGGGGGTGTTATATGGAAATGAACTTGACAATAAACTATTAAAAAAAAGAAAAAGAAACGTATAAATCTGATGGAAAAGTAAAAACATGAGTGCTACTGTATGTCTTAGTGTAGAGACCTTGAATACGTACAGAGCAAAGGCTTCTGGGAGACCAATACACATTTCGGTCAATGAAAATATGTGCAAGTTCTTCTGCCCCGAATGCCATGAAGCTAGTGAGGAGTACTCCTCTTAATTCATTCTTGGTTGAAATGGGGCACAAGAGAGGAAGTGAGTCACTGAGGATCACAGACAAGGTGATTGATGATTTAAGCAGAAAGGGGCTCGAGAACTTTCTCCATATTAACCGTTAGAAGGAAGATCCCTGACACCACTCCCTTTTATGCCACTCAGGCCATCTGATTTCCCCGAGCTTTGCTCAGGAAAGTACGCAGATACTGGAATTTGGCTTTTCGTGTTTCTAGGCACATCTGTGGGAAAGAATAACCAGTTGTTCTGTTTTCACATACTTCTTTTGTGAAAGAAGCACTCTTTCTGAGTGCTTCCAGAATATCTGAAGTGAGGATCTCCTCCCCTTTATGTTTTTAATCAGGTGCTTCAGAATGGACATGAAGGTGAGTCTGTCACCAGCAGATTGTGAAGGGGGTCCGTGTTCTGAACACATTTCATTACTGTGATTCGTGATTTGCTTAAGTCCCCCGACAAAAACAGGATCTGAACGTTGCTGCTAAAGAGGCTCCCTATAATTTCCCAAACAGTGAATATTTGAATGAGTATTTCCAAAGTGTTGGGCATTTTCAGAAACCCACGGAAGCGAGTATTTGCAAGCAGAGACTTCATCTGTTCCCCCTGTGCCTGGCACAGCGCCTGGCATAAATGCTCGTTAAATGGATGAGTGAGTGAATGAATGAATAACTGAATGATGGGGTCGATTCATGCTTCATCAGATTTTGTAACCCCACTACCTAGTGCAATGCCTGCCCTAGACAGTCGATAGAGCTCATGTTCCTGGGGCGCATGGGCTTCTTAGTCGGTTCAGCATCTGACTCTTGATTTCAGATCAGGTCATGATGTCACATTTTATGAGGTCAAGCCTCGTGCCAAGCTCTGAGCTGGCTGCACAGAGCCTGCTTGGGATTCTCTCTCTCCCTGTCTCTCTGCCCCTCCCCCGCTTACACATGCCCTCTCTCTTTCTCTCTCTCTCAAAATAAATACCCTTAAAAAAAAAAAAAAGAGGCTGTGTTCAGCAAATTGATAAAATCCCAGGAAACATTCGGTAATTGACCTAAGGATCCCATTTGATTATCTGTAACCCTGAACAATTATCGATTGGGATTGCTATCTTTGCTCAATTACTTGCTCACATAATACTTTTTTTTAAAAAATATTTTTTATTTATTTCTAGGAGAGAGAGACAGCGTGAGCAGGGGAGGGTCAGAGAGAGATAGGGGGGTACAGACTCTGAAATAGGCTCCAGGCTCTGAGCTGGCAGTCAGCACAGAGCCCAACGCGGGGCTCGAACCCACGAACCACGAGATCAAGACCTAAGCGAAAGTCGGACGCCTAACCGACTAAGCCACCCAGGCGCCCCAAAAAACGTTCTTAAGTGAATAGGGCCCCTGGATTGAAGAGTCATTTGTTTCTAACAAATTGACACTTCATTATTTTCCATAGGGAGCAAATGTGCGACTCCTTTTGCTTTTTAAAATTATGTTTTATTTATTATTTTTTTTTTATTTTTCAGGTAGCACTTGTCAGACTCTGAGGGTCCGCTGATGGCAACATTGTATGTCCCAGGCTTCTGCTTGGCACACTTCACAGAGGTGGCATGGTTTTAGCAGGTGGATCCGCAGAGAAGCGTCTGTGGTTACCATTAGGCTAGAAGAGAAGTTCGTGTGCTGGGACTTTACGGTAACCGGCTAACCAGAAAGAGCTCCTGCCAGCCCAAGTACTGCCTCCTCGGATCAATTGGGATTCTCCTTCACACAGCCTACCCCTGCTCAGATGGAAAACCCAGCTGGGAGGCACAGAGAGAGCTGCAGACGGGAAGCAGACCCCCTAAAGGCAGCCCAATAGCTGATGCGAAGTGAGGGGGAGACGCAGAAGAGTACTTCCTCCTGCTGATGTCATTTGCCATTCATGGAGACCGATGAGACAGGCATTGCCACTATCCCCATTTCACAGGAAACCCAAGGCCCAGAGATGTCAAGTAAATTGCCAGGATCGAACAGCTGGCAAGTGACAGAACAAAGATTCTAGCTCAGGAAGTCTGACTCCGTTCTTAACTCCCAGTAACCACTATATTATGTTGTGTTCCCTTTACTTGGCAAATCTTCATTTGCAGAATTTGGAATAAATCGCAAATATTTACTTGAATATGATGCATCAGATGCATCATTTGAACGTTTCTTTTTAATCAAATAAAGTGTCCTTGCCTGTAAGAAAACTCCCATAATACAGTATCTTAGAGAGTGCACAACAGATGACTAGTTAAAAAACACCCCTGAGACCGGGGCACCTGGGTGACTCAGTCTATCGAGCTACCAACTTCGGCTCAGGTCACGATCTTGCGATTTGTGGATTGGAGCCCCATGTAGGGCTCTGTGCTGACAGCTCGGAGCCTGGAGCCTGATTCTGAGTCTGTGTCTCCTTCTGTCTCTCTGTCCCTCCCCTACGCGTGCTGTCTCTCCCTCTCTCTCCAAAATAAACATTATAAAAATATCCCTGATGCCTATTTAGTAACTAGTACTAACAGTACCTCAAGGACTATGGTACTGGTCTGAGAGAGTAATAAAATCAACGGCCACAGTGGTTTTACACACTAGGACTTCTCCTTTGCCGTGAGCTCTCTAGGGATGGGATTAGTTGAGAAGAGTCGCTGGATTATTCTGGAGCCTGCCAGGTTCATGGTAACCTGAGAGGTTTTGGTTGGCTTCTACTGGCCACTGCTTTCTTTCTTCATCCTTATACGCTTTGAGAACACGATAGCATTGGAACATTCCAGTAACGAAAGCAAACTCAGAGATTAGACATCATGAAGACATGTGCTTTCGTCAATGAAATGCTTCAAAGTATATTGCTGTCTCACCTGCGCTTCTGCTTCATTTTTTATTTTATACTTTGAAATGTGAGATAAGAGAGGTCCTGTTATAGCCTTTATGGTTACTTCTTTGACCATGTTTGGTTTGGCAGTTCAGAAAAAAATCAACGGAAGGATCGCATTTCAATGGCATAACACCTAATCCTCAGGCAAACGATTTGTCCACGCTTAATATAAAATACTTATGATGTATTGTTTGATGTAAACAGTAGTTCTAATAAAATGGTGCCTGAGGTACTGTTCTTTAACTGGTAATACCCTGTTTGTGTTGGCCTGTACACATCGGATATAAAGCCATTATGATAAAATATATCTTCTTCAGCCTGATAAAAACGCAAACTAGAGTATAGGACGCATATTGGGGGAGAGAAGATGCTATAAAACACAAAGCCCCTTATGGTATTCCGAGTTGACCCCAGGGACAAGCCAGTCAGCCCTCTAGACGGAAGCTTCCCAACCTCCTTGGAGGAATGTCCATGTAATCATTCAAGGCCCTTTATTTGAATCTACTACTGTGCCGAACCCAGCTACATTTACCTTCTGGGTTTGCGAAGTTTTTATACATGGGAAGGAACGGCTGCATTAAAATAGTGGATTTCAAGCACAAAAGAAGGTTAAAGGAAGCACATCCAATTCAGCCTACCCTGGATAGCAATCTCTGCTCTCAAATATCCACTTGTTATAACCTTTTTCTCCAGGACCCCGTGCTGCTTAGAAGCATGCAAGGTTAATAATAGCAGGCAAAAAAAATGCTAGGTATTTCAAGATGCAACATTCATCTTACTGTTGCACTAATGCGGAGATGACAGAAAGTCACTTTCAACCTCCTTTCCTGCTGCTTCTATTACCTGCGTGTTGTGAGATACTCCTCTAGGTATTGGAGAATGATCCAATACTGTTTGTATGGTGTTATATGAAAGACAGGCATATTCGCCATTATCCTCAACTGATATAATGCTTGTAAATCAGCAGAAACTCCACCTCAGTCCACTTCTCTGAGTCTCTGAGGAGCAGACGCTCAGTTACAGCGCCGTGCGCGGTTCATCTGGAGACTCACTTCCAGGACACCGCTGATTGAGAGCCTTCTCAGTAATTGTCACCTTAGCCAAAGGATGAGAAATCACAGGGTCTGACCTAAAGTGACTTGCATTTTCAGGTTTCTGCCTTATCCTGACTCATCAGTTAATTGTCCAGAGCTGTAGGAGAGGTCACATTTGAACCACATTTGAAGAGAGGCTGCTACCCTCTTTGTGTGGATTGCAGGTAATGTCCTTCTTTGCCAGGAAAAGACTCCTTCGAAGAGCAAGTTTTCAAAGTTGTTTTTGACTTGGGTTTTTATTTTGATGGTATTTATAAATAGATCAAGTACTTAACTCCATGAAAGTATCTTACCTTTTTTTTAAAAAAAATAAATGCTTATTTATTTATTTTGAAAGAGAAAGAAAGAAAAAGACAGAGAGAGAGAGAGAGAGAGAGAGAGCGAGCGAGCACATGAGCAGGGGAGGGCCAGAGACAGAGGGAGAGAGAGAATCCCCAGCAGGCTCTCAACTGTCAGCAAAGAGCCAGATGAGGGGCTCGAGCTCATGAATTATGAAATCATGACCTGAGCCAAAATCAAGAGTCAGATGCTTAAGTGACTGAGTCACCCAGGCGCCCCATGAAAGTATCTTGCCTTTGACCACGAATCTGGAAGTAAAAAATAAAAACCGCGGGGAGTCTGGGTGGCTCAGTCAGTTACACGTCTGACTCTTGATCTCAGCTCAGATCATGATCTCTTGGTTTGTGGGTTCGAGCTCTGCATCAGGCTCTGTGCTAGCAGTGCGGAGCCTGCTTGGGATTCTCTCTCTTCCTCTCTCTGCCCATTACCTGCTTGTGTTCTTTCTCTCTCTCTCAAAATAAATAAATAAGCTTAAAAAACTGAAAACAGAAGTGGTCACAAAAGGGAGAGAAGAGGGAGGATGGAAAGATGACATTTCTTTTGTTCAGGTTAACGGTGTTGCTTAATTAGCACAACCCTCTTAGACACTGTGCTTATCTTCACTGAAGGCCACAGCGACAAATGTGCCCCCAGCATCCACAATGACTTCGGATCCAGAATGGATCCCGTGTCCCTGGACACTACGAAGGAGGCAGTGAAGTCAGTGCGAGGACTCTCTCGGCTCCCACCCTCCTATCCCGGGCCTTCAGGAAAGAAGCCTAAGTTCTTGTTAATTGAGGGAAGCTCGAGAAAGAACGGCCAGCTCATTTTGGAAGTCTACTTTCAGACTGGGTCTAGAACTAGAACTCAGAGCCCAGTACTAACTTGACCCCATCGGCATGTGTTCAGGTATTCGGGTCAGACCAGCAGCTACGTTTGAGGCTTTCCAGGGCTTTCTGCATCCAGGGCAAGTGAGATTTCCGAGGAGGTCACTTCCCAGATCAGATTCCCACTGGCAGCAATGAAGCTGGGTGCCGATCTTGTATAAGAGTTGGAACTCAGATCAGAGATGGAAGGAAATAAGGAAAACTTTTAGTGACTGGAAAGGAGGCACCCCTTTGCTCCTGTGAAAACTTCTCTCCAATTAAATCCTAAATGTTTCCCTAGCCTTCCTTCTTTTTCAATTTTTGGTCCAACGCCCAACAGTGAAGCCAAGGAGATCCTCCTTTGTTATTATCTTCCTGTCCCAGCCATGAGTGAGCACTTATATTCTCCCTAGAGTTTAAATCTTTTCTTCAATAGGCTTTAAGACTCCTTACAAATTCTTCTGTGGATTTGTAATTTTGTTATTCCATATTATACTACTTCAGTTAAATAAAGGAAGAAATGGATTGTGTTTAGGAATCTTTTACTTACAGACTCCCCCCCGCCCCGCCATTACCAATGGTATTTCATTTTTTAAAATGAGGCTATTCTTCTATTTTTGAAAACTCCTTCAGAAGGGTATGAAGGGGCTTTGCTCTTTTATCCAGCTACCTGGGAGAGTGCCTATTATTAGCATCAAGACCCCTATAATGTGAACATTAGAGAAAAAGCCACTAGTGTAGCTATTCTTTATTAGACAAAAAAAAAAAAAAAAGACTCATGTTGAGAATTCTGAATCCTTTCCATGGGAGGGAGAAATTGGCTGTTTAGCATATTATAAATAAGTGAAACAATGCAATCAGAAGCCTGCTACAATGCTGAGCTGTACTTAGAACTTTTTTGGTTATAAAAAAATGAGTTTTGGCTATGATATGAAATGTTCTTGCTGTTGGAGATTTTTGATTTCTAGCTTTTAGTCAGAGATAATACAATTTTTGGTTTTAGGATTGTCTTTTCTTTTTTATTTAAAGATTTTATTTTTAAGTGATCTCTACACCCAGTGTGGAGCCTGAACTCACCACCTGGAGATCAAGGATCGCATGCTCTACTGGCTGAGCCAGCCAGGCATCCCTAGAATTGTCAAATAGATTCAAAAATTCCCTTTCTGGGTGGCTGTACACCGAAGACCATTTGTAATCAGTAATTCTCTGCTATCACTAATCTCCTGGGTTCAAATGTCTACTGCTGTAGTCTCTACGGGTGGGGTGGAAAGGAGGGAACCGTAGATAGACTCTCTGATAAGAATTTTCTGTGGTTACAGGGCATTGGTCTTCTGAGCAGTTCAGTTTGGATTATCCTATTTATTTATTTATTTATTTACTTATTTATTTATTGAGGAAGTGTGCACGAGTGTGAGTAGAGGAGGGGCAGAGAGGGAGAGAGAGAATCCCTAGCAGGCTCTGGGCCGTCTGCATGGAACCTGACTCTGGCTCCATCTCACGGACCCCCGAGATCATGACCCCAGTGGAAACCAGTGGTTGGATGCTCAAGTCACCCAGCCACCCAGGGGCCTCTGGTTTATCCTCCTGACCTGCAGTTTTTTCTGTGCACATTGTAGGGGACGGAAAAGGGATCATTTCCACTTTTCTCCATTGTAACAAGTGAGCAACTTTAGGTCTGGAGATGAGGAAGGCCTTTTGCCAGGCCCACTCTGATAGCTGCTTCACCCAAATGAAGAGGGCAACGTGGGGGAGACGTCCCGCATTTGGGTCGCAGTGAGCACGGGTAGGACTAAAGAGGGGTTCCGATTGCTGCATAAAGTCTCTTTTTGGTTCCAAACGTGTGGAGAGAGAGTGAGTGCCCGGAGAGTTGTTAGGCGGATGAGAAAATGTTCTTAGCTGGGTCTTGTGTTTCAGGGAGCAGCAATGGGATTAGCTGCTCACTAACTTATTTTTCCTAAACTCAATGATATAAGGCTCAGATTTGTCGGTTTTGGGGACTAGGTGAAGCAGAGTTGAAAGCCTGAAATGCCGAAGACACTGATCCTGGTTGCTCCCTGGGAAATTTCCACTATTCACTTACCCTTCATTTTGACCACTCAGACTCTTCATAACCCATCCTTCCCTCCAAGTCCACGGGCATCGCTCCAGTCCCGGCTACC